AGTTTTTTTTAATTATAACGTGACTTATTTGCAACTAATACGATTACTAATAATAAATAGTTTTATGCAACAAATGTTTTTTAGCTTTGCTCGAAGCTTATATATGCAATAATAACTGTAAGTTCTCTCAACTTCGTTGTTTTTATACAAATTTATATAAAACATAAAGACAAGACTAGTTGCGCATCTGAAGTTAAAAATGCGCATGTATATGCAAACTCTATCTAAATATTGTTTTTTTTGTCTAATTTTTTAGATATTTGTTTTATCAATCAAAAGAAACCTATTTTTATATAAAATATGGTAAAAAGGCCTTTTTTTAATATAGATATTATAATTATATATAATTTATATGAAATCTATTTTTAGAACACTAATAAAAACTGGCTAAAGCATTTGCTTCTTGAAAACAATCAACGTCAAAAGTATATTCGTAATAATAGATCAGTTTTTGTTCGTGAAGACCCCAAATTTTTACGTATATTGCCTCAGCATAGTGATATTATAACTGCTATTCAAGAAAAAAACCCAGTATATATGTTATTAAAAGTTCCAAATGTAGATTCAAATTTACATAAAAAATCGCTAATTCCTTTAATTCCAGGATATAAAGTTTTTATATATTATGGTAGTTGTTATTGTACTATAGAATTAGGATGGTGTGAAGTTAAACAAATTATATTATGGATATTGAATGAATTTGGTGCTGATAGTAAATTTCAAAATCGATTAAATATTCAGCAAACTTTTGAAAAATCAGATGATTTGCATCAATATCTTGAAAATTCGTCTACTCTTAATTATAATAGCCGTTTGTCTTTACCATTTTTATTAGGATTAACTACAACAGAAAATGTAAAATGGTTACGTGGGTATGTTGGTGCACATTATTCGAACATATTTGAATTAGAATATAAACAATATAAGGCAGAAAAAGAAATAAATACTATAATTAAATCAGCGAAAAGAGATGCAAATTCTTTAGAAGCTGAGATTAAGCAAGGAATTCAAACAGAGCTTACTTTTAATTTACAAAAATCAGATATAGATTCGACTTTAATACAAGCAATGAGTAATAAGATAATAAAAATGCAAAAAGAGCTAAATAATACTAAAAAGCGATTATGCCGTTCACACCAAACAGTAATAGCATTGCAAGAATTATTAGAAAAAGAATCCAATAATTCAAGGTATAAATATAAAATATTGTAATTCTTATAATAAATAATAATAATAATAAATTAGTTATTGCAAAATTATAGTGAAGATGACGAATGTAGTGATATAGAAAGTGATCAAGACTTATCTGAAACTCTGAATCTTCAAGAAATCTTAAACTTATTGATTATTAAAGGAAAGTTAGGTTCTACTGTATTTGTTAGCACCGAAATTTTTCTAGAATTAATTCTTAGACAACCATGCCCAAAATGTTGCAATACAGATATTGTGACAAAAAAACATCAAATAAAAGTTTCTGGATTCTTAGTAAAAATCAATATCACTTGTAATAAATGCTCTACAACAGTATTCTATAAAAATGAAACAGATGGAGTTGATTATTCAAAACTTGTTGCTGGAGCAGGATTAGTTGGAGGAGTAAATAGAGAAGAATGGATGACAATGTTATGCGCATGTGGTATTACACGCCAAAGTGGAAAAAAGCAATATTTTCAGAAACAAGAAGCTTTTTTTCAAAAAATCCAAGAAAGTGCTGAAAGTAGTGCTAATTTTGCTTTGCATGCTGCTTGTGAACAAGTAAAATTGCAAGGTAATCATGTCTTAGAAGTTAGTTTTGATAATTCATGGAGTCATGTAAGAAAAGCATCACAAGCAAGTGGCGAATTTATCTATCATGGAAAAATTGATGGTTAGTAATATTATTTGTAATATTATAATTAGTGTTGGCTTGACCAAACTGGTTTGATTATTTGACCAAACCAATTTGACCGGTCCAGTTAAAAGATTTGTACTGGTCAAATTGGTCAAACGATTATTATAAAATATATATTATATTTAAAATAGACTTGACCAATTTGACTAGTTTGATTAATTTGACCAAACCAATTTGACCAGCAAATTTTTGGTCGACCACTAATTTGCCTAACACTGATTATAATAATAATATAATTACTAATATACTTTTTAATTATAATAGGATATCGTGCTAAGCCTATTGTAGGTTACCATTTGGTAGAAAAACCTCGAATTTATAAAAACAAAAAAGAAGAAACTATTGTAATTAATGAAGGAAATTATAATAATAGCAGCCGACAAATGGAACATGCCAATTTAATCGGTTCTATTACTAAAATCACACCTACACTTATTGAATATGATATTGTTCTTGGAGTTGCCATAGATGGAGATCTAAATAGTAATAAAACATTAGCAAATCAACCAATAGTATCAAAAATATTTGCAGATTTAAAACATAAAGCAGCAACTGTAAGAAAAAAAATAGGTATAAATTAAAATATGTTAAATTATTTGATTAAATAATTATATTAATATAAATTATTATAGCTAAAGATGAAAAATGGAAATACCTTGAACAACCGATTATGAATTTTTATAATAGAGCTGTGTATGCTGCATGTATTCGTACAGGTAATAATAATCATCTCTCACCAACAGATAATGATTTACATCAATTACATTATGATGTTGTAGTGGATCATTTACTTGATAATCATAGCCGATGTTGGGAAGAAGTATGTTGGAAAGTAAATAATCCAGACTTAACTTTGTTAGAACCTAATCTTATTGGGAAATCTAATATACAAGCTAATGCTTTAAAAGAATTCCTTAAAAGAATTACTCAATTAGCACCTCACCAAAGTTTAATTACAGAAATGCGTACTAGTCAAAATGAATCAGTAAATAGAATTAAATTAAATTATACAGACAAAAAACAGGATTATCCAAAATCATATAAAACTCGCCATGCATTAGCAGTGATTCACAATAATAATGGTTTCTTAGAATTATTGCAAATTTTGCGACAAGCAGGTGAAATTTTAAAATTTTCAGACCAAGATTTATTGAATATTGCTACAATCTGGAAGCAAAGAGAAGATAAACGAATTTGTAACGTTGCCGAAATTCATAACAGAAATGAAATACGTGCAAAAAAAATAACTCAACAAAAAAACCAATTACAAGATTTCGATTGGTCACAAGTAGGTTATAAATTATAACGTATAGACTATTTATAATAATAATAAATTAAATTAAAAACCAATAAATAGGATTTGGTTCCATACGGAAAATCAGTACAAGATAATATTATAAAATATACATTCCGACCTTCTTTTTCAGACATTATTCCTAATTTTGACAGCTTTATATTATGCGAAGGTTGCGGCTCATTTCCAAAAAGATTTCCGGAGCAAGGTCTTTGTAAATTATGTGGATTTTATTGGAATCATGAATTATCACATTTTATTATCAATCCAAAATTTCATTCTGCAAAGGGCAAATCATTAACACAACCTAAATTAAATATGATTGAAATAGTTCTATTAGAGGTTTTTAACTTACAACATTTTAAAGAGTTACAATATAAAAGTATTGAAAGTTTTATATTAAAAAAGGATACGTTAACTATTATGCCAACAGGAGGAGGTAAAACTTTAATTTTTTCTATAGCTAGTACGTTATTTTATGGATTAACGGTAGTATTTACTCCATTAAAATCTGTAATGGAATGCCAATTAGTACGTATTAGCTATTATAAATCTAGTAGATTTATATTATATATAAACTAAATTTTGTTTATATATTAATAGAGAGAGTTAATTAGCATAGGGATACCTTCAGCTTACCTTTTCGCAGCTACAGATCAACCACTTGATATGCAAGAAAAAATTTTTTCAGAAATTGCCTCAGGATTTATTAAAATTTTGTGGATTACACCAGAAAAATTTATACAAAACTTTCAGTTTCGCCAAATGTTAAAAAAAGTAGCAGAAATACGTGGTATTCAGTTTGTCGTAGATGAAGCGCACTGTATAAAAGAGTATGCTAATTTTAGGTAAATTTGTAATATATTAAATATATAAAGTATATACAGTTGACCCTTTCAACCCCGATTCTGTCAAAACCGATAACCTGTCAAATCTGATAAAAAATTAATCTACCAAGTCCGTTCCCGTTATATAAATCTAATAGTTTGCTATGTTTTCAAATCCGATAACCTCTTAAAGCTAATACAAAACTTGTCCACCATGCATACCGATTCTGAGAGGGTCGACTGTACTATAATTTTTAGCAAATAATATTCTAATTAAAATACTCCCTACCATTAATTTAAATTATCGTGCAAACTCTTATGATCATAGATTTTTTTCTTATTGTTATTTTTTGTATGTTATTACATAAGCACAACAATCCCAAATAAAAACTCAGTTAACCAACCACGACTCAAAAATCATGATCATAATTGCACGATAACATTGATATTGAATCATGCGATGATAAATATCACATAATTTGTTCTGTTGGAGCAAATGATTAGCTGAAATATGCCACTACGCAGCACATGTCAGCTAATCATTTACTCTGACAAACAAATTTCATGATATTAATTGTTGCATGAACAATATCTTATACTTAAATTGAATAGTAAATTTCAAGGTATTAATTAAATTAAAAGTCTAAATAATATAAAAACTCGGACATTATTTGCTAAAAATTACAGTAAAAAAAAAAAAAAAAAAACTAAAAATTTAATTATTATAGACCAGCTTGGAATCAGCTATCTCAGCTAAAAGAAGAATTTGGTTCTGCACCAATTCTTCTATTAACTGCAACTTGTAGTGAATATATGGCTAGTCAATTAAGTATAAATCTTAAGTGCTTTTCTTTGAATATAATTCGTAACATACAAATTTACAGACCTGAACTAAAACTTCAAGTACTTCCTAAACCTGTAAAAAAAGATAAATTATTAGATGCAATTTTTAAAATTATAAATGAAACCACTACTGGACGAATAATTATTTATTGCGCAACACCAGATGAATGCTCAAATATAATGATAGCTCTTAAAAAACAATACAACCCAGACTTAATCACAATTTATCATGGAAAAATGTCTAATGCTGATCGAAAAATAACTCTAACAGGTTGGAAAACTGGACTTTATCGTTATATAGTAGCAACTAATGCTTTTGGAATGGGTATACATGTAGCTGATGTAAGAGTGATAATACATGTTACATTTCCAATATCAATTACAAATCTTGTTCAAGAAATTGGACGTGCTGCACGTGATGGAAACTCTGGTAAATCTATAATATTTTATTCACGAAATGATATCCGAAAATTAATTTTAATCAAAACCAAAAATAATAAAAGGTACTAAAACAATTATACAGTCAACTCTAAGTATATCAAACCTCCTTGCAATAAACTCTGGATATAATAAATTTTTGATTTATATCCGATTCAGGTTAGACTTTAATGCAGGTGAACGGGTGCTAAGATAATCATATATACATTTAAAAAAATTAATGATGATTAGTAATCATGCTTACCTGTACTAAAGTTTACCTAGTAAGTTCAATATAAAAAAAATGCTATAGAACTTTTTTTTTAGACTCAGTTCCTTATAGGAAGAGTTGACTGTACATGACTCTTATACCATATAATATATAAGGTTACTAATATGTAATTATTAATTTAAAGTTTTTCTGAAATTTCTCAACAAGAAGAAGATCCTATAACAACTATTTTTGAATCGTCTTATTGCTGTGAAGATACTTATACCTGTCGACAAATATTATATTATACTCCATTTAAATGGACTACGGATCCACAAATTCCTGAATGCAATATATGTGATAACTGTATTAGAAAAATTCAAGATAAGGCAACAAAAGCTAATATTCGTAATGACTTATTAAAAATATTAGATATTACAGAAAAGTTACTAAAAATGGTTGAAGAAAAAAAATTAACAAGTTTTGGAAGAGAGGAATTAGTAGATGTTTTTTTAAAAGCTGACAACAAAAATACAAAAAGTAAAAACTTATCATTATTGTGGACAGGAGAAGTTGCCATTTATAAACCAATGATTTCTACTCGGGATGCCTGTTTTCACATGGTGGATAAATTAATTATCAAAGGGTTTATAAAACAAAATATAATCATTGAACCTATTCGCCCAAATTCTTTAATTTTATCATATAGTTGCAGTATAATTGCTATCTCTGATAATGCACGAGAACAAATAACAATAAATGAATGGTGGGAATTTGTAAAGCAAAGTTCAAGACAAAAAAAATAATAATAAATAAGACTTACTTACATCTATTCAATAATTAATATGCATATGCTCGCTATGAAAGTCAACAGGAATATACGTATCTAGTTTTATGAATTTCTAATAAATCATTTGAAATGTTCAGTAGTTTTAAAATTCAAACAGGTTACAGAAAATATGGATTCAAATCCTTCTTCGCCAAGTTTTAATCTATCAAATGAATCTACTTAACTATATGCTCATATGTATAAATCGTTAAGTTTGGATTACTATGCCTATTTTTAAATACCCAATTAATGTTCATTATACCCATCTACTAAATTACAGCTGATTTGAAAATTAGTGGGACACTTGAAAAATTTGCTTGTTTTCCGAAACCTTTCGGATTCGTCTTATGAATCATCTAACTCTTCGGAAACCACATCATTGTCTTCAGAACTTCGATCTGAAAATAGTGTTGTGATTTCCGAAGAGTTAGATGATTCATAAGACGAATCCGAAAGGTTTTGGAAAACAAGCAAATTTTTCAAGTGTCCCACTAATTTTCAAATCAGCTGTAATGCGAACAAAAAAGATAATTACCGTGTTACCGCGGAATAACGCACATGGGCGTTATTTCAAAAATCACATTCCCTAAAAATAGTATACTTGGCTTCAAAATAACGCCCATGCGCGTCCCAAAATAGCGCGCACCTTATATAGTAGGTGAGTTCTTTTAAAATCTATTTCGAAAATCTCACACATAAAAAACTAGGTTGATTTCGAAATAGCGCACATGCGCGTACTCGAAATACCGCGCAGGTGATCGAAATACCACGCAGGTGTGCGCTATTTCGCCGTAATACGGCATCCATGAACTAAATATTCGTTATACTTACCAAAAAAATTAGCACTCCAACATGAAATAAAAACAAGAGGTATGATGCTGAGGTGTAATTAGAAAGATTTGTCGTATACTGTCAGAGAGTAGTACATAGTTGTTTATTTTTAATTATGCAAACAAGATCTGTGTTCGTTTTGTGCTTTTCTGTTAATTTTACTCATTATATTGATAATTTATAGATAATAGAATAAACTTACATGATAATGAACAAGTTTTGATGAAATAATATAAATTACCATAAAGTACTGAGCCGTAGATCCCCCTATGAGTTGTACCCGGATACTATCCATATTATATCTGTATATGTTTTAAAGAACATCTTATTGGTGTAAAACATTGTAAAGTTGAACGAGAAATGTACACCGGATACATTTCTAGTCTTTGTAAATACCGGATACATCAGTAAGCACTTTATGGATACATAAATCATAAATATCTTTTGATATTAGCAAATATAAAAAAACAGAACCTTCTCCCTACGACTTTTTATAATTAAAATTCAGATATTCATATAAATTGTGAATTTTATTAGAAAACAATTTATTATTTTTTCGTTATCAGCCAAAAAAAAAAAAAGGATATAGTCAACTCTTTCTAACGAAATAATACTGTAATAGTCTGGAAGAAAAAAAAGGTTCGTTATAAATATTACTGTTTTCTAAAAACCCATAGCTTTTTTATATCGAACTAATATAATATTTTGAGTTCATTATGTCAAAGAGTTCGTTATACATATTCAGGATCGACTTGGTTATTAGTAAAAAGTTGTTACAATTTGATTGGACCGATAGTCAACTAAACTAGTTTGTTCTATTTTTATAATGTTACACAAATCAGTGATCATCATTTTTTCTGCCATATTCGTATATAGTACATAATTTAATCGATACCCTACCCTTAA